CTGCAAAGCTGCCTGAAAAACTATCCGCAAGTGCACCTAGGGCAAAAGCTGCTTTAAACGCAAAGGATGGTCACACCAAATGTTGATTTAATTTAGTTAATAGAAGTTATTTGATAAAGAAAATCTATTAATGACACTATTTTAATGACATTTAATGACAGCATTCTCATTTTACAGCATTTTTACACAAGTGCCTAAAACTGTTAACAGTACTGTAGCTTTGCGGGTAGGTTTCTTGAAGCGTCTTGGAGACGTTGGCACAGTTCTTCTGGATTGAGTCTGTCTCAGTTTTTTCTGTTTCTTCATGTCATTCCAGACAGACTGATGATGATCAGATCAGATCTCTGTGTGGAGCAAACAAAAATCTCACTGGATTATGACAATTAATGGCTAAATGAATGTTTGGAAATGTAAACTGATATTTCCTACTGACACACTACAGCAAAAGATAGAAATAACTGACTTAAAACCATTTTTTAGCTGCTGAAAATACTAGTGTTCTGATGATTTTGGCCTCCACTGTAAGATCATCTGTTCAGACATCACCGCAGCGCAGTGGTAAGTGAAAAGCTGTTTCTCTGTTGATGACGGTCAGGTCTCTGTGGAGCAGCTTCCTCCTCAGGTGGACCAGGAGTCTCTGGAGATCGATGACTTCCTGGATAACTCACTGACAGGAAGCTCTTTTCTGATGCTGAATGGCATTCCTGGAGAGGTACGTTCAAATACTGTTGGAGAAGTACTTAACTGTGATTTCCACTGATCCACAAACAGAAACCACTACTTACTTACTAACTGACCAAAACGGTTTATTTATTTAATAATTATTTTTATATTCACTTATTTGTTTATTTAGAAGTCATTTTTATTTATTTGTTTTTTAATTGGTTATAAGTAGATTTATTATTTTTATTAATGAATTTTTATTTATTTTTATATAAGGTATTTTTATATTTTGTTATATTCTACATTTATATTTCTATATGTTCATTAATTTTTCACATATTTCTTTTAAGAAATATTTTTGATTTAATTTGTTTTTAATTTATATATTTTTATATATTTATATATAATATATATTATCAGTTTCTTTTTCAATAATCTAGTTCTTCACTAAACCCTGGCATTGTGTACTATGAATATTGTTAGTATAAGTTACTTTGGACAAAAGTATTTGCTAAAGTGTGTGTGTGCTTGTGTGTACATTAGCCTGATTGGTGAATTTCATTCGACTCTCATTGTAGTAAATGATTCTGTTTTGGAATTTTTTGATGCCGGTCTATCTGTTATTCAAAGGGAGAACACAATATATGTATTTGTATTTATTCCGACAGAGACCCAGATGTGTTTCTCTCGTACCTTTCATGAGGTGCAAATTGAAATGCTCTCGCCGAATACTTTGTTTGCGTGCTCCAACTGATGCACAGAAACACAAAGGCCGAGAGAAACCTTGACGAAGACCTTCTTATCATTATGTTTGTTAGTCATAGCTGATTTGTTTCCATTTCTCTGCGGTGCGGGGGGGAGGACAAGCTAAATGTAATGGTTTGAAAATGAAAGGTGCTTTTGTCGTCTTCGTAACATTTGAATGTGCTGCAGTTGAGTCTGTCACAGCCGTCACCGAATGTCACATTTCCAGGCCGTTTTCTATTCAAATGCAAAACATGATGAACCGACTGACAATCTAAAGAAGTATGAGGTACAAAACTGAGACAAGAAGCTCCATTTAGATTCCAGCCGTGAACTGTGAGGGGAGCAAATATATATATATATATACGGCAGCAAACACGTATCCTGAGATGAACTGAGTGTATCGTGCTCCTGCAGAGGAATGAGCTCACTGCTGTTTCTCTCTCTCTGCAGACATACTCAGAGGAGACCAACATTGACCTGCCCACGCCGTCCACTAAGAGGTAAGCATGAGGTCACCGAAGCGCTAAAGCACAGCTCATTAAACACAGACCTGCAGGATGCAAAACATCCTTTACATCCCACACACAACAAATACACCACTGAATGAAAGAGTGAATAACTGAGCGAGAATGAACAAATGACTAAAGTCAATCTGTGGTTAATCCTAACTGAAACTATTCAAACTTGTTTTTGTTAGTTGAAATACAGCTAAAATCAAATATACCGTATTGGCCCGAATATAAGACGACCCTTATTATAAGACGACACCCCTTTTTCCAGATGTACCTTTTGGAAAAAGGCTTTTTAAAAACCAAATCTTGTTTTTTCTCAGTAAAACACATTTTGTCTTCAATTATTTTCAAATTGCATATTTTTCCTATTTTAATTTTTGTTTTGAAAGTATGGTAAAAACTGGTAAACTGTACCAACAATCACATTTAAAAAATATGCACTTTTTGATATACCATTAAAAAAAACAAAACAGGTAGCCCATCTGAATTAGGACATTTAGGCTATCCATCTAATAGTAGCCTACCAAAATCTTATTAACAGTAGAAGTTAAATCTTACTGTAGTCTTCAAATCTGGGTACTGTCTTACGTTTTAAAATCACAAAGGGAGTTTGGTGCCATCAGGCTAACGTGACAGTCACGACTCATGCAGCTGTAAGGTTTTCTTTCTCTTTTGTTTTTACTTGCAATCTTTACAACAGGCACTACATTATGTATTTCATGGCACACTCGTTTTATGCGTATTTGGCGCCACCTAGTGTTGTGGGTGTATTATTGACATGTCAAAGTCTAGACCCTGAATATAAGACAATCGCGTTTTTTCAGATGTATTTCCAAGAAAAAAACATCATCTTATATTCGGGTCAATACGGTAATATAATATTAGATGAAAAACTTGATGAGCTGAAACTAAATTAGAAATGTTGCCTTTGCATCTAACTGAAATGAAATTTGGAGTACTAAAATTGCTGAAACTAAAACTGAAATAAAAATATTGAAAAAAACGAATACAAATACTAAACACAAAAATACTAAAACTTGAATTAAAATGAAAACTGAGCCGGCGCCAATAGCCTAGTGGGCAGTGTGCCGGCATATAGTGCCGTTGTGCTCCGGGCGTCCTGAGTTCGAGTCCCGGCTCGTGGACATTTCCCGATCCCGCCCCCCCCTTTCTCTCTCCTACTTCGCTTCCTGTCACTGCTATACTGTCCTATAAAAATGCCAAAAATAAATCTTAAAAAAAAAAACAGAAAACTGAAAAATAAAAATCTACTCCAAAATATTAATGCATGCTATAATATTATATAAATAATAAATTAACAATGGAGTGAATAAACTTGTATTGAGTAATGTATGTGTTGGGTTTGTTTATTTATTTTTAGTTTTTTAACAACGTTGAATAATCCAGAGGTGGTGGGTAAAAATTGATCAAATAAACAACTGAGTGAAAATTAATGTGTGGTTGAATAAATTTATTTAATAAATGATATTGAATAAAGGATTGATTGAGTGAAAATGCATGAGTGAATGAAAAGCAATTCACTGAATAATAAGTGAATAAGTGAATGATTCAAAAACAGATGCATTAAGAGAGCATAAGTGAATCAAATAGTCAGTGAACGATTCAAAAAGTGAGTATAAATGAATCAGAGATTCAGTGAATGACTGAACGAGTGAGTGTGAATAAATCACAGTCAATAAGTTAGTGAGTGAATAAGTGAATGAATGATTCAAAAAGTGAAAGAATTAAGTGAGCTTGAATGAATAAAAGCGTCAGTGAATGACTGAACTAGTGAGTGTGAATGAGTCAGTGAGTAAAGGACTGAATGAAAGAATGATTCAGAAAGTGAATGAACTGAGCATAAGTGAATCAAACACTCAGTGATCGACTAATCAAGTGAGAGTGTGAATGAATCGGAGTCAGTGATTTACTGAGTGAATGAATGAATGAATTTAAGTGAGCGTAAGTGAATCAAATAGTCAGTGAACGATTCAAAAAGTGAGTATAAATAAATCAGAGATTCAAGAGTTTGTGAGTGAATGAATAACAATGAATGAACAACTGAATGTGAGTCAGCACAAGAGCAAATGAGCGAGCGAATCAGACTGAATCTCTGAGCTTGTTCTTCTGCTGTAGTCTTCAGAGGTGGAGCATTCCTGACTGTGATTGGCCGGATGTGTTGACCGACCCGTCTGTGGAGATGGGGCCGGTGTTCCCGCCTCGGCTCAAGAGAGGTCAGGGCAGCAGACATCTGGGTGTGGACATTCCCTTCAGTCCCGACGAGGTGGACACGGTCTATGACAACAGCCACAGGAACAAATACTTCTCATCCTCAGGTGACACGCTGGCCTCTGGCCTCTCCTGTACTTGTTTATTTTTGCATACTTAGTACTTAAGTACGTACTTAGTGCATAGAGCTGGTTGTTGATTGGATGCTGGTTTTGATTGACAGATGAGGATCTAATCAAGCGCATTCTGGCCGATGGACAGCTGCTGTCTCAGACGGACAGTGACATGGGCGATCTGTAAGTCACACACAGTTTCTCATCTGCACTTCAGAGTGTCTGTAAACAGGGCCGTCCTTTGGGCGGTGCAACTGGTGCGCTCGCACCGGGCCCCGCGCTTTGAGATTTAAAAAAATACTTAATTAACATCGACTGGGAAATTTCCGATGCACACAAAGGTAGTAGAGTCCATAAAATGAAATTTTCAAATAGAAATAATATAAAGGACATAAAATAATATAAAAAAACAGTATTATACTGTGTATATTTAGTGCAGCATATATGTGAATGAAATGGCATCAGATTCATCTTAAATTTGGTGGTTGTTCTTCAGTGCTCATATGTTTGTTTGTTTTTTGTCTTTCATGAATTATGCATTGATCAACTTTCAAGTGCATGAACGCCTCATTAAAAAGTCTGTTTAAACACGTTTTATAGCATATACACTATCGTTCAAAAGGTTTTTTTTATGTTTTTGAAAAGTCTCTTATGGCTGACTTTTTTTGATCAAAAATACAGTAAAACCAGTAATATTGTGATATATTATTACAATTTAAATGATCAATTATTCATTTTGTGCTCAATTATTAATAATGGTGCTGACTATTATTATATGTTGAAAGTTTTTGCTACTTAATTTTTTTGTGGAAAGTGTGATACTTTTTTACAGCATTTATTTGAAATAGAAATCTTTTATAACATTATGAATGTCTTTACTGTCACTTTTGATCAGTTTAATGTGTCCTTGCTGAATGAAAGTTGTTTGTGTTTAGCTCCAGTATATTCGGTGATAAGACGGAGGTGATTCTACTTCAAAAGATGAATGAACCTGTTCCGTGTGGAACATTTAGACGAGACCCTCCCAAAACTGCCTTTACTTCACGCACAGGTACACACACACACTGGGTGGGGCTTGTCCTGTCCAGCAGCCTATCAATGTGGCTGGGGCGGAGCTTCAGCGAGGGCGTGGCTCTGATGTGGCTCATCTCCTGCATTGCCAGTTTCCTGTCGTCATTCCTCCTCCTCGAACCTCTGAAGGTACATACACGCACAACAGCAGATGGAAAAAAAAAGAAAACAGATACAATAGAAATAGAATAGAGCAAGCTTAGATTAGAGAAGCTAGTGTTAGTTTTTTTTTTTTTTTTTAAGAAAACAAGCAGTTAGTAAATGAATA